ATATGCAAAAAGTATGAACTAATATTCAAGTATGGTAAGTATCTAGATAGCACAGACTAGTATTCAAAACATCACAAACTAGTATCCATATAGCAGATACCAACTAATATCCACAATCAACCAACTAGTATAAAATATAGATACTCTTATGGGTTATCTGGATACTCTTATGTGTTGTCTGGATACTAATTATGTGTTGTTTGGATACTATTCTGTGTTGTCTAGATATTAGTTTGTGAATTTGAAATAATAGTTGATTCATGGTGGATATCAGTAAGCAAATTTTCATATGTGACCCCTACTGCCGCATCAACAACTTTTCTTCATTTCATTACATACCATTTTTTATTTTCTCTACATTAATGAAATTCACTTTAGCACAGATATCTAAGAAAAAGTTATTATACTAATTGTGCATATATTTCTAAATTATATTAAACTTTATCTAACATACGGGTAATGAAATCAAAATTATAGTACGTACTTGGATTTAACATATAATAAAAATACTCCAACCAATATATTAATATTTATACGTATTCTTAGATTACATAAAGACGAAAAGTATGGCAATAATTCATTCTAAAAAAACATATAATAAAAATTCAAACAACATATATAATGAAAATTTCAAATGTAACATCATCAATATTCAAATGTTTCAACTTGAAATTTCAAATACAAAATTAGACAAAGCAGGAATACCTAGAAAAAAGACATGCAAGAAAAACGAGGTCATTTGAGAATCTTGTTGCGGCTCGATCGACTCACGAATATGTGGCGCACGTTTTACTCACCGTGTCCAAATCAACGTTGATAACCTTGCTCATGCGTACATACGTCCAAATATATACATAGGATCCCATTTAGCCATCTTCCTTTTAATCCTTAATTAATCATCATTGTTATTAAAAGGGGTCTAGTGCGAACCACGCCATCATCATCGCTGCGTATCATCCCCCAGTAATTGATTTGTCGTTATGGCCGTCGCCGATTGACATAGTTTTATGTTCTGTCTCGACCTTATTGTATACAAATTATTATCCACTATTTTGTTGTTGTTTCTTTCAATATTCTTTTGTTTAGTTTGAGGAGGGGCACGTTTAGATCCTCTCCTTCTTTCTTAGTTAATTAGGGCGGCCAGCCACTTGCCGATAATTTCAGCCGAAGCGACAAATTAATTAATTAAAGATTGAAAGGACAGATAGCGAGCTCTATGTTACAGATCGGACGTTTATTTGTTATAGCAACTTGTCATATTTTGAGATAATAACAAAATTGAAATATACGTTCGAATGGCATTCAGTGGATACTTTGAGATAATAACACATTTGAAATAAACGCTCGGAAGGGCATTGGGTACATTATGATGATTTTTCGGTGAGTTCACTCATCTTGGTAGTGCTACTCATCTTTGTATTGCTTTACACTTAGTATGATTAATTTCAGAATTATTATGAAAATTACTTCATTTAGTCGACTGCTATGTTCCAAAATCAGCACCGCAGTCAATTATCTCCAGCGAGTCTCATTAATTTGGTACGTTAGAAAATTTCTCTATGCTCAAGTTTACTTTCAAAGAACTGGGTCAACCACAAAGTAGTTGTTAGTAACGGAACAACAAAAAGAATTGTTATCGAATCTGGAGCTGAGTCGCAGACTAGGTCGCTTTCTTTAAGACGTTCATGACACTGCCTTCGTTGCGCACGACAAACTATCAAGCGGTCGCCTCAAAGGTAAAACAGCTCCTCTTGGGTGCTAGACGATTTTGTGTGAAAACCGTAGCTCTTTCTTGCTCGTGTTTCAACTATTTTTAGTGGTGTCTTTAGAGGGGCTGGAGAGACTGTTGTTTATAAGAGCCGGGACCCCCTAAAATATACCCTCTGACTTGGGAAATAAGTCGTGTTAATTACGAAAATAATTACTTCCTTAATTAAACTGCATCAGTAAGATAATACCTGGCTGAATTATCTCTCGAATATCTTTTTCACCAAACTAAAATTAACTTTTGAAATGGAATTACACAAACTATGTATTATACATTGTAATTTCTACATAAAATAATATTATTTAAGATTTTGCTATAAAGGCATAGGTAATTGTACTAATCTTGGAGTACAGGAGTAGTGACTTCGGGTCGGTCGAGCCGGGAATAGTGATGAGCTTGCGCGGGTTTACCATCGCTTTTACCATGTGGAAGCATATCTTACAGAGTTGTACTCGAAGGCCAGCACATCTTGAAAATTTGATGTTCAACATGATCTTTCATCTTTGAAGTAGGGTGATTGTGATTCCAGTTCATACTATCAAGCAGCTGTGATTCTATGGACTCGTCTGCTGCATCAGCCGAAGTCTTGAATGAGCGCGAGTTCTAGGGTTACACATTTCTTGATAAATATGATATCCAAGTTTGAGGGTATTAACGCCTCCCTATTGTTAGAGAGTGGTATAAGATCCATGATTGAACCTCTCCCAACAACTCGAGTTATTGGGATCAACTGGTTCTTGACATGGTATCAGAGCCTAGCAAAAAGATCAGCTAGATCAGATCCAGTCTTTTCTTTTTTTATTCTCTGCCTGCGTGACAATCACGATCAGTCACCATGTCAGGGTCCTCTGTTTCTAATGCTGCTTCAGCTACACCATCCGAAGACATGATCATCACCTTCAATCCGGCGGCACAACTCCCTCTGAAACTCACACCAACAAACTTTAACTCCTGGAGATCACAACTTGAGACGCTGCTCATGGGGTTGGAGTTGATTGGCTTCATCGATGGCTCAACCGTCGCTCCAGAACTGACAATTTCATACATTGTTCTACTATAATGTGTGGTCTAATAATAAAATTAAGTTACAAAAAGATCTCACATTAGGGTAAATTTTATGTAAAATTAATTTTTCTTACGGAACCTTCCAGTAATGAAATTTGATGAAATAATGAATATTGTATGTAATAATAAAGGAATTTTATTCATAATAAATGAATTAAGTTATGAAAAGTATCACAGATTAAAATGTTTGGTTACCATGTATTTCTTTAAAACTTATATGGCAGAAGACTTACATATTATGCTATTAAATTGATACATAAAAAATTACTATCCTTTCATATACTTTACGTAGTGTCTTAGTCATTACGGAACACTTATTTAATGCGTTTTGTTTAATTGATACAGGAGTAATAACTATTCATATGTAAGTTGTACGTAATTTTGATAAAATAGTGTTAAGTAAATCTTCCGTAACATGTGGTCTAACAAAAAAATCAAGTTATGGAATGGAAGTATCACATTCGAATTCGATTAAACTATTGTGTAAAAGTTAACTTACCTTACAAAACTTTTGGATGATGTGAACTTATAAGATGGAAACATTATGATTAATAATAAGTCTTACTTGATGTATTTGTACTACGTAACTCTTTCATTGCGTGGAAAGAAAAATATAGAAATAGTTGATTAAAGGAAAAAAGAGTTTGTGATGGCCAACATTTAAGTGGACATTATTATGTTTTTGTACTTTAGTAATTCTAATATCATATCAGACACTGACTATTATTCTGTCTTTGTCAATGATTTGCACTTGCTCCTTGCAACTCTAGGACATCAATGGAATATCTAAGTTAATCAATACCAATGACCTGTGGTAGAAGGTTGGGTATCACACATCATCCATTCCATACTTATCATCTATAAAAAATTTCATGACTGTAATACCATGAGCAATGTAGTTAAAAGAACGATTCTACGTAAAAGCATTTTGGTGATCTTGAAACATAGAATAGTAAGCTTTTAAGTTTGTTAGCGTAGATTTTGAGACTACACTTGTAAGAGAAAAGTGTGATTCTACATAAAAGCATTTTGGTGGCCTAAAAATATAAATATAATTTTTTAAGTTTTAAATCACGATTTTGACTGTATTGGTCATGAGCATAAAACAACATGAATTTGTTGTGATGCTTCATGTGTGTGAGTGTTTTTCATTGATCCGCTATTTTCTTTGGAAAATTTTTAAATACTATCTCTATTTTAATTTGTTTTATCTTATATAGTAGCTGTGAGACAATGTTACATAAGCATTGTTACGTAAATTCCTAAGTTATCTGACATGTCTTATTTAATTGTTACATGAGAAATAATTGTTGTTTTGTAATATTTATTTATTGTATTTTCATCTTACATAGTGTAAAATGATATTATGTGGGTTTTTTACGTAGTGTGTCGGACAATTATGAAAATCTCAAATAACACGACTAATTTAACAATTATGTAAACAATAATTGTCATCTAAGAATCTTTACATACTAAACGTAACGAATCATTGTCATGGATTCACATAATTAAAAACAAAATCAACCTAAAAGGAAAAGGGAACCATCAATTTATAGAAAGGAAACAAATAGAGGAGCTCGGCCAGCCTCCATGCCGTACCAAAGGTGGGCAATATATGAGATTATAACATTGAAACCGGCTGTATCATATAAGTCCCCCCCAATGAATAGTGATAAGGGAGATAAAATCGTAAGGAACAGTGAATATACCTATGGTTTACTTACGGTTTAATTAATTAATCCGAAAAGGACAAACAAATCCAGGCTAGCTCTCGATTATATTTGTGTTTACGCCTCTTTAATTTAGATGATTGCATGAGTTGTCTTTCATTAAACGCCCTGATCTCCAGTACTGGTGATTTTTGTAATCATTCAAAACACTACGAAAACTGTAAATCTTTAAATGCATTCACACATGTATAATTATATATGAAAAATATTTTAACCACAATACATCAATTTAACCATTCCAGAAAAACGTACAAAACACAACTTAAAAACGAAAAAACAAAACAAAAACAAATGGACGTAGGAGAACCTGTGGGACCACGAAGGCTGGGATGGAATGCTATTATTTAGTGTTACTAGTGATTGAGAGTGACTGATCAATCATTTATTAAGCTCCCTCCCTCCTTCCCCCCGCCGGCAGGCCATGAAGTTGAATCCGATCATTCTTCTTTTTTGTTGTCGTAGTCGAGCTTCTCGATCACGTCCTCTTCCTCCTCCTTGCGTTCGACGATCTCGGCCTCCCCCAGCTCCACCTTGAGCTCCACATCCTTCTTATTCTTCTTCTTCCCCACCCTCTCCTCTTCCTGGGCGAGCTTATTGATCTCGTCGGGGGTGAGACTCTCCTCGGTGTTTGTCCACGTGTATTCGTAGAGATTAGCGCCGGTGTAGAGTCCGTCGTGCATTCGGGTAGTAACGATCCTGTCATCGAAGAGCTCGTCCGTCTGAGTGTAGGAGAAAGGGACGTCGCAAAACCCTTCCGTTGCCTGAAAAGTGATGGTCGCCCTGGTATAGGGACCCACCGTCACCGGGTACTCCTGCTCCTGCTCTTCGGATGTCTCGATTGTTTGGCCCCACGCGTATTCAGACGACGCCTCCCACTGAACCGTAAGTGACGCGTTCGTGAACAGCGGGATGCCGGCTGACACCGTGGAGGAGAGGCCGTAGCTGAAGGACACGGTGCTCTGCCAGTGCCGGCTTATCGTGTTCCGGAACCGGAACCTAATGACGGGCGTGTTGGTTTGGGAGGAGTCGTTGTTCACGACGGTTCGGGCCAGGGTTCGTGGGGTCTGGTTGTAGATGCGGGCGTCCAGGAGGTTGAACTGGACGTCCGAAATGCTCCTCTTCCTCACCCACTCCCCGACCTCCAGCACCCCCAACGCCGTTAGGGTTTCGTCCGCGGCGTTGAGGCAGTTTGTTTTGCCTTCGGTCGTGAGGCGCCTGCAGAACCGGTCGTTCCCCGCGTTGCGCAGCGCGACCACGTTGGGGCCGCCCCGCGCCGCCCTCACGGGCCAGAACACGGTGTCGCGGTTGTTGGGCGTGGCGTCCGTGGAGTCGCCCCAGATCCAGTTGGGGCTGCGCCTCCAGAACCGGCCGTAGTGGTTCGACCGGATGCGGACGCTCCCGTCCGGGCTCTGGAACACCTCGTTCCCCGCCTGGGCCTCGCTGATGGTGGTGCCCGCGAACTCGTGGTAGTTGAACCTCTCGATCACGCGAGCGCGGAGGAACCTCTCGTTGTCGCCCTTGAACGCCACGTGCCAGGGCAGCACGAGGAGGGATTCGCAGTTGAGGACCTCGCACATGTCCCTCCAGTTGGTGGGGTCGGACGGAGACGATCCGGCCACGGCGAAGTTGGCCATGGGAGCGGGGGCTTGGCTCAGGCTGACGTACCGGTTGAGCTGGACGTGGAGGAAGCGGAGGAGGAGGTTCTGGCTGCCGTGGTCGTTGTTCACGGCGCCGGCGATGACGGGCCTGAAGAGCGTGCATGACCACTTGGACTGATCCTCCTCGGAGGCATCGGCCGCGGCGGCGAACCACAGCTCGGTTTCGGAGGTTCGCACCCAGTACTTGTTGTTGTAGGCGCACCTGAGATGGACCAAACCTCCCCCGGTCCTGGACTGTTGGACTTCGAACCTGGCGTGAGGGCTGATCACTGTCTCCCCCGTGTACTGGAGGAAACCATGTTGTTGTGTGTCTTCGTCTGTGTAACGCAGGAATTTCAGGTTGTCTCTGTTCTTCACCATCACATACTGTGGCAACGCCTGTGCCATGATGACGATGATGATGATGGTAAATGAGATGGGGATGGGAAAGTATGGTTTTGAAGTGACTTTAGATCGATATTGGCTTTGTGATATGATACCTCTACCACTGAAGTTTCCCTCTATTTATAGAAATAGCTAGACGTACAAATGGAAGGATTGTTTTTGGACGTGGTTAGCTTTTTGTTTTATTTAATAAATAAAAGACACCTAAGGAAAGGAAAAGGTATAATGATGATAATAACTCAATTAAAACATGATAATTATAGAGCAATTGTCAAAATCAATAGACCCCGTTTGGATTGGAATGCCGGTATCGGGTGGTATCTTGTGGTACACAATGTTGAAAGTCGTAAATGACAGTTAGTATACTACTACTATCATGTAGTCAGCCATCGCACAGTCTTGATATAATTAAATTCAAACTTAACGAGTGAGAAATCGTCTCTTTAAGATTAACGGAGGAAAATTAAAGGATTTCCAGGAAAGAGAAGGGGCGCTGATGTGACGGATTCTAGTTGGGTTACTCATGGTTACTCACCATAGAATTGTAGAAGCAAATAGAAGGTAAACTGACGATTTTATTCATTGGAAGAAGGCAGACTTTATACCAGATTCCATGAGCTATGGTACCTTTTAGATACCTCAGGATTCTTTTTACAGCCAACAGGTGCTGTCTTGTAGGAGCTTCCATGTACCTGCTGAGCAAACATACAGAATACATTATGTCAGGCCTTGTAGCCGTGGCATAGAGCAAGCTTCCAATGAGTTGTCTGTATTCAGAGACATCCACTGCAATTCCATCCCCTCCTTTTGACAGCTTGGTACCTGCAACCATTGGATTGTGCACAAAGTTGCATTCACTTAGCTTAAACTTCTCGAGTAGCTCCTTAATGTATTTCTTTTGGTTGATAAAGATGCCTGACTCAGATTGAGTGACTTCCACACCCAAGAAATACTTCATCCTCCCAAGATCTGTCATCTCAAATTCTGCCTCCATGGATGCCTTGAAATCTGCAAGCATGGTTGAGCTATTTCTAGCATACATTAAGTCATCAACATAGAGACTTACAAGCAAGAAATCCCTTCCATATCTCTTAATGAATAGAGTAGGTTCATATTCACATCTTTCAAAACCTGTTTGCAGAAAATGAGACTTAATTCTTGCATACCAGGCTCTTGGAGCCTACTTCAATCCATATAGTGCCTTTTTTAGTTTATACACCTTGCTTTCCTCCCCAGCAACCTCAAAGCCCTTAGGTTGCTCAATATAAACATCTTCAGTCAACTCACCATGCAAAAAGGCACTTTTAACATCAAGCTGGAAAACTGTCAGGCCTTGAGATGCAGCTAATGCTAAAAAGGTTCTAATTGTATCCCATCTAGCTACTGGAGCAAAAACTTCAGTATAATCCACTCCATACCTCTGTTCATAGCCTTTGACTACGAGCCTGGCTGTGAATTTGTCCACTTACCCATCTTCTTTGAGTTTGGTCTTGAAGATCCACTTGACTCCAATAGGAGTAACTCCTGCAGGTCTGGCTACCAGCTCCCAGGTACAGTTCCTTATGATTGCATCAATTTCCTTCTGCATTGCCTCTCTCCATTTTTCTTCCACTACTGCATCTTCAAAGGTCTGGGGATCAGTGGCAACTGCTATGTTGATCCAGCAGTCAGTATCTACAAAATATCCAGTACAATCATAATCCTTTAAATGACTGGGAAACACCCTCTTCCTCTTCCCTAGTGTTTCTTCAGGAGGATTGTCATAGTCATCTGTAGGTTCTTCAGATGAAGAATCTGAGCTTTGAGGTGAAACTGGAGTGTCAGTAGGTGGTGTTGGAGTAGTTGTGGGACTTGGAGTGAGCTGTTCCTCTTCTTCATGGTCTGAGGTGGGCTGTTCGTTCCCTACACCTTGATTGGTGACTTCAGTGGGTTCTTCCTCTTCATCAGAATCATACCAGGGGTCTTCACTTCCTTCCCAGAAGATCTGAGTAAGAACAAGTTGTATATCAGACTTCCAGCTCCACCCTTTTTCTTCATCAAAGACTACATCTCTACTGATTACAACCTTCTTGGTGATAGGATTGTAGAGTTTGTAAGCCTTTGACTCTCTGGAAATCCCAATAAAATGGCACTTCACACTCTTGTCATCAAGTTTCTTCCTCTGTAAGTCATGGACATGTGCATATTCTACACACCCAAACACCCTGAAATGATCAACTGTTGGAGCCTTGCCAGTCCATATTTCCTGTGGTGTCTTTCCTTTGTTGGCTGTGGTGGGGCTCCTATTTAGGACATGTGCAGTCCATTCAACAGCTTCTGGCCAGAAATTTGAGGGGGACTCTAGTGTCCTTCAGGGAGCAACGAACCATGTTCATGATGGCTCGATTCTTCCTCTCAGCAACCCCATTCTGCTGGGGTGTTAAGGCTGCTGTAAGCTGCCTGGCAATCCCTGCTTCTTCACACAGCTGTTTAAATTCATTCAACATGAACTCTCCTCCTCTGTCAGTTCTAAGACAAACTATTGATTTACCAGTTTCATTTTCGAGTTGTGCTTTGAACTTAGTAAACCAACTAAGTGCCTCAGACTTAGCAGCTAGGAAGAACACCCAAAGCTTTCTGCTGTAATCATCAATGATGGTTAGAATATACCTCTTTCCACCATTTGATACCGGGGTAATGGGGCCACAGAGATCAGCATGTAGAAGTTGGAGGGGCTGGCTTGCTCTCCAGGTACTTTTCTTTGGAAATGTGGTCCTGTGTTGTTTGCCCAGCATACATGCTTCACATACTCCCAGCTCTCCAGTTAGTCTTGGCAGGCCAAGAACTAGTTCTTGTTTCTGCAGCCTCAGTAATCCTCGAGTATTAAGATGTCCAAACCTCCTGTGCAATAATTGTAATGGAGCTGTTTTGTTGGCACCAACCTGCAAACACTGGAAGTCTCTCACCATGTTTTCACTTGGATGATCAGCCTGAAGGACAAACATTCTGTTTGCCTTCATGGTTGTTTGCAGAAGAAGTGTGCCTTGTTCTTGAAATATCTTGCAGGTGTCCTTCTTTATAGAGAATTCCAAGTTCTTCTCCTGTAACTGCCCTATGCTGAGAAGACTGGTTCTGAGACTTGGCACATAATACACATTCTGTATTATTAGTGGAACCTGACCAACCAACATCTTAATAGTTCCTTTTCCTTCCACATCAAGCCTGCTGCCATTGCCAAGTTTGACCTCCCCTTTGAAGTTGCAGTTGAGCTTGATGAACCATGACTTATCTCCAGTCATATGATTGCTGCACCCTGAGTCCAAGAACCACCACGTCTCTGGCTTCTTTTGCTGCTCAGTCTTGTGATCATTGGTGTATGCCATGAGCAGGACATCATCCTTGAATACTTGATCAGAAGACTCAATGTAGTGTGCTGTTGTGTTCCACTCAGGGCATTCACGAATGTAATGTCCCAGCTTGTGGCATTTGAAACATTCTACCATGTCACGGGTCCAAGTTCTTCCTCGCCCTCTGCCTCTACCTCCACTCTGGTACCCATTTCTACCAAATCCTCTGCCTCGTCCTCCTCCAAACACTTGAAGAGCCTGCTCCTCTCCATGTGAGTGCCTAGTGAACTTCTGTTCGTGCACTAGCAGCGAGCTTTGCAAAGCATCCACTGATAGTTCTCCAATATCCTTGGATTCTTCAATTGAACACACAATATAATTGAACTTCTCAGTCAGAGTTCGCAGCACCTTTTCTACAATCTTTGTATCAGTCATATCCTCTCCACAATTCCTCATCGAATTGGCAATTACCATAACTCTGCCAAAATAGTCTGCTACCCCCTCTCCTTCCTTCATTTGTAGCAGCTCGAAATCCCTGTGAAGTCCCTGAAGATTGGACTTCTGAACCCTCTCGTTACCCTGGTAACGAATCTTCATATCATCCCAAAGTTGTTTTGCAGTATCCTTCTGAGTGATCGTTTTGAGAATGCTCTTGTCGATTGAACAGAACAAGTAGTTTTTGGCGTTCAGATCTTTGAGCCTATTTGCTTCCAGTGCCTTGGATTGGGGAGCAGATTGCTCTTCCTCATCAGTAGGTTCAGTGAAACCTGGATTCACCACACTCCAGAGTTCCTTCGATCGGAGGAGATTCTCCATCACCAAACTCCAATGATCATAGTCACCGTCGAATTTGGGAATGCCCACTTGGGCAAAGCTTTGATCACTCATAATCTGTTTCTGACAGATCTCTCACCAGAAAAAAACGCAAAGACAACCTCACCAAACTCTCGTGTTTCCCTTTAACCCAGATCAAATATCGATTTCTCACGCTTAACTCTCTCTTGGTTACAGCCTGCGATTGCTCTGATACCACTTTGTAGAAGCAAATAGAAGGCAAACTGACGATTTTATTCATTGGAAGAAGGCAGACTTTATACACTAGACTCTTAACTGAAAGCCTTTGGACTCGGCTCAACACTAAGCACTGAATCCCTGGAGATTAGCTCCTAACAAACCTACTCTGCTAACGTTGGCCTCTGCAACGGCTAGTTTAGCCAGAGTGACTCTCACAGACTCAAAACAAACAATAGAGACTAAACAGAAAGAAACCAAACGACACAGTCTAAGCAACAAACTATTAAACAAACAGAACTTAAACGACACAGTTTTGCTCCAGCTCTTTTCCTTTTCCAGTCGGGATTCGGATTCACCAGTTCTGCATCATCTTCATCAAGCAGCATTTTAATCCTTGCTTTAACAAGAATTATGCACAGGAATCACTCCCGAAAAGTGTACCGTTGGAGCCCCTTTGGAAGTGGATCTCAAAGTGAATGTGGATGTTGCATGTTTCAAGGGTGAGGATTCTGGATTTGGGGATGTAATTCGTGATACCCAGGGAAATTTCAGACTGGCTGAGGTAAGAAGAAGTTGGAGACAATGGGAGCCGGAGACAGCGGAGTGTCGGCCAATCAAGTTGGGTGCAGATAGAGC